CATAAACTATGAGCCCTGATGTATCCTGCATTTCCTAATGCATCTTATTTAATATGTGATAATTTGGTTAGTTTTATCTAAAAACCATATTTATAATATTTTTTTATTATTTAAAAAATTAAATATACATACAGCACCTTACAAATAGTTACTACAACACAATGATTATACTAAATATTAATAATACTTTCCTTTATATTTCTTCTTTCTATGAATTGTATATTTTTTATAAAGAGTAAATAATATTCCCTCATTCTATGTATAATTCCTTTTTAAATTTTGTAATTTATGAGTTAGCTAACTTCAATATTTTACACAATTAATCCAAAGCAGTATATAATCATACTTAATATAACGCACTTTATTGTTAGATAGAAATATTATTATATAAATTGCAACATTATAACAAATTTTCTATATAAATATCCATTATATTTATATAATTTTTTTCACAAGTGCATATTCTTTGTAATACTATTATCTGTATATTATATTAATATTTACCGGTATTTTCGTTGTTTCCGAATTGTGAAGCTGTTACGAAAAATGTTGATACATATAAAATTCAATGGAAATATGACTGTAAGAATATTAAATAATCATTTAGATGTAACTGTTTCTGATGCTTAAAATATATGCTGTCAATCTATGTAATATTTGTATGTAATGTATATCGACGAAAATATACATCATTGCAAAATATATTTTTTAAATACATGTATTATTGTCTATATAAAATGAAACTAAAGGATGGACGAGATAATCTAGATATCAAAGATTATTATAAGGGTTTGATTAAAATAGCTAATTCATCTTCTGTTTTAAAGGATTTTTTGTATATTGAGCAAAAAAATAATATTTATGATGACTTAGAGATATTTAAATGTCTATATGACTTTAATGTAAAAATTGATAACATAAAAAATTTGATTAGTAGTGGGTGTAATAATTAAAGAAATTAAATTCTGCAAAAAATATTGAAGACATACATAATCACCCCATGAAGGAATGAGCAACAGCTGTAACCCAGGTTCATACAGTGCAATAAAAAATATTATAAATAAACATAACAATAAAAATTTAATCGCTGAATGTAATATAAATATACCCGAAATATTACATTCTTTTCAAAAATAAATATTAGTATTTTCTGCTTCATTTCCTAGTGTTGTAATATTACTAATATTACATGTCTTTTTTTTATGTATAATGCAAATAATGTGTATAGTTTAGCTATAATATAATTGTTAAAATAACGTCAAAACATATATAGATACTTAAAATATTATATTTTCATTTTAATATTTTTTTTTTATTAGTTCAAGGGTTCATGGTTGTAGATTGTATGAAAATGGTAAGTAAATTATTTAAAAATACAGATAAGGAATGTGATACAATGCAATCATATAAAATATGTGGAAATAGTTCAAAGAATATGAGATATAATGTATTATATAATTCTGCTTAATTATATGATTGTATATAAAATTACAATAATATAATTAATTAACATATCATAAAAAAGGAAGAAATTAAATTTTTTGGAGTGTTATTCTATTAATATTTCCATATAAAAATGCAATAGAGCTTATAATATAAAAATATATTGATAAAACTGTAAAATCAATATAGTAATGCTTCAATAAATGAAGTCAGAATGATACATATATTATTTATTTCATACAGAATGACTAAATGTAAAACGCATATATCTTATAAATCTATCCTTTTAATATTCTGTATTTTTATTGAAAATAATGTTTTTTTGTTATTAAACAACATCTCATAAATATAAAAATATAATGCAAATTGAAAGAAGAGATTTACATAAATATCATACTATTCAATTATATTACCTTATATAAAAATGTATATTCAATTACGAAATAAAAATGACGAAAATTGATTTTTATTTAAAATGATTTTTATAATATTCATATGATGTCTTTATAGATAAAATATCTCGTTTCCCTAATTTTACGATATTTATGTATGAAATATTATTAAATATAAGTTAGTTAGGTATATGATAGCACATGAGTACAAATATATAGTTATTGTTATATTTTAATTATTTCAATTAAAATTCGTCTTTGAATTACATTATATATTTTCCCCATTTTATATGAGTAATATAGTAAATATTAATAAATTTATAATACTATGATCTATAATCACTTATATAGATTCATTGAAGTAAAAAAGTATGAAAAAATATTTTTTCATAAGTGAGATATATTATTATATATTCATACATTTCATTTATAATATATGTTAATTTGAATAAATATACTTTATTACATAACGAATTGTTTAGTTAAAAATATTATTACATTATAACATGATGAATCTATACGTAATAATATATAAAATATTAACATAATTACTTATTATTTCATTATATCACAAAATATCATTATATAAAATTTAATTCCAAATATTAATATAACATGAAAAACATTTATCTATAAAACACATAATTATAAAATAAATTATAATATGAAAATTAGAACATATTTTTTATGTCATATATATGGGTAAAAAAAAAAAATTATACTTCGTTCAAAGACATATGAATACAAATAAATTATATAATGTACAAATATAACTCCATGCAATATTTATGGATTTCACTATAGGTTATACAATTAATATAATATTCATTTTAACATTTTATTATTTACATATTTAATTAATCATTGTTCCATTTTTTTATTTATAATCGCCAAACTTTTCATCCTACACATTCTTGAGAGATATCAATTTACATATAATTAAATCAAAAGCACTTCTAGTAAATGAAAAAGTGAATAAAACATATTTCAAGAATAATTTTATATACCCTTTCAATAACACACTTCTAATATATTTTTAAATTACGCCTAATGTATATATATATACTTTGAATTACGGTCTAATTAATAATATATACACATATGGAATAACAATGTGTATATATAGAAAGAATATTTCTGTTGCAAACATACAAATATTAAAATTTTTATAACGAAAATAACATTAAAATAAAAAGTGGAAAATCAATAAATTTATATTTATCATGGTATATAAGAATAAAGAAGCATGCGCATTAAAACATATCCTATGATTTTTTATGCATAAATAAAGCATGTTTCTATTTAAGTAATATTGTGTAATTTAATAAATACATGATACATTATTTCACAAAAAAATGTATATTTGTGGAAATGAAGTTAAAGTGTATGTTAATTAATAAGTAATAAATATTTGCTATAATATGTGTAAAAATTTCAGCTTTTACATATTAGTGGTACATTACCATAATATTTTTAAGGTTTCATCATCATAAATATAATTGTATAAATTAATAATAATATATATTCTAATAAATATGGTTTTTATTTATTCATATCCTACAATCATACGTAAAATTCAAGTATATTATTTTTTTTTTTTTTCGAGCACAAGCATTAATAACTATGAGGTTAATATGTTATAGTTAATTCAAAGAATTATGAATCTCATATGTAAAATTAATTAAATTAAATAAGTCTTAAAACATATAAAGAATAAATAATTCTTTAAAATATATTATAATTATAAAGATGATATATGTTCGACTTATTACATATCTTTTTTTATATTTCATATTCACGTGTTATAGATATAATTCATGTTAAATAATTTTAAATGAATCATTATAATATGATTATGTATTATTGTTTTCAATATTGAAATTTAATGTAAAACATAATACTTATTTTATGATTTGGGTTTGACATATATTTAAAATTATGCAGATATATGTGTAATATTTTATCTTATATGCAATGTACGTGCTCAGTAGTTTTCATTATGTTTTATTCTAATTGAAATAACAAAGTAAAATAAATAAACTACCTAAATTTAATAGAAAATCATTTTTAATTAATTTAAGGTGAAAAGAAAATAGTAATTTATTGTATTCTAAAATTATTACATTAATGCTGTTGTTTTATTGTAAATTAAATATTTACATGTACTATAGTGTAAAAAAATATACATCAAACATATAACAATTGACAAATAATAATATGTACTGGATAATGATATTATTTATTTTAAATATCCAACTAAATGAAAACATAATTTTGTTGCATTTAATAGAAATGAACTATTACAATTGATTAAATATCTGCAACATATATGTCTTCTTTATAATTATTTATTCGTTACAATAATATTAAAATTTATAAAGAAAAAAGTATATAATCAACATTATAATATTAGCCCATTGTTTCAGGTTATGCATAAAAAGATCATACAGGCAACACATATAAGTATAAAAAAATTTGATTATCACTATAGAGTCATTATAATAATATAACTACAATACATAGAACCATAATACATGAAACCTGAAAAATATTCCTGAAATTACATATACTGTGAAAACAAATAATACATGTAAATAGTAAATATGATTCAATAATTTCATACATATATATGTATAAAAAATAATATAAATGATACATAAATTAGTTTTTATAATTTATCATAACTAATGTTAATGTAGTATATATACTAAAATTAAAATATATTTATATATTTGATTCACTGTTAATTTAGGACTTGTTAATATTTAATGAAATACATAAAAAAACAAAAATCTCTTATAGAACAGAAAATATAATTAAGGATCATGTAAATTAATATAAATCAAATTGATAATCTTCCTTCTTTTTGCATATAACAATAAAAAGAATAAGTCAAGAATTTATGTGTGAATGTATAAACACTTTTCACAAAAACAAAAATAAGAAAAAAAATTTAATTCCGTGCCTTAGATATAAATTCAAAAGTAGCATATTAATTCACTGAAATATTATTTCATTAATTTGAAGTATTATTATTTTTTATTATTTTATATTGTCTATGAATTATTTTTTTTTTACATGATATCTTTGATGGAAAAATCCGGAAAATATTTCGATTACATTATTCTATATGAGTTGTAATGAAATATATAATTTTTCGTCAATTTAATGGGAACTATATAACACATTATAATTACTATTCCAACGTATATTGTTATATATTTCTGAGTTTTCCAATTTACTCAATTCTTTTTTGAGACCAAGACACATATTCTTTAACTTTTTTATTTCACGGTGTAAGTATGAATTATATGGCAGGAACTAAATTGTAATAAATGATATTAGGTATTAAAAATATATTAATATTATAATTTGTTTTTTTTTATTTTTTAAAAATGCTATTATATAATTATATATATAAACATCACATTAAACCTTATAAATTATGAATAATAAAGCGGGTATTATATATATTAGATAAGATGATATTATAGCGGTTTTTGATTTATAAATTTGGGCAGAAGGTAATATTATATTCTCAAATTTTTCACAAGGTAATGTTTTGCAATTAAGTTTACCACAATATTGCGATAAATTTAATTCATTGTATACATTTTTGTTACGTTCTAATATATTGCAAAAATGTTCATCCCAATTAGTCTCACATGCTTCATGTCGATGCATGTATATAGCAGCACATTCGTCTGCGCAATCGCATCTACTTTTATTTTTACAATATGTAAAAGTACTGTATTTTATTTCATTAAGTTTATTGCTCATATCACATATATCTGTGATTATTTCTAATTCATCATCAAAAATGACATCTTTAAAAGGAACTACATACGTAATATACAGACCAGCATTATTATATACGTTAAGTATTTCATGGTATAATTCTTTGATGTAGTTCCTATCTTTTGCCACTTCTAGGTGATTCTTATATATCCAATAATAAAGGTATTTGAAGTGGTTTACCTCTAGGGGATTACTAATTGAATCATTGCATATATTATATAGATATTTCAGCGCCTGAGGGCATAATGTGTCTTGATCCTTTATTATATTAACAGTATCGAATTTTTCATCAAATTTCAAACAAGCATTATTCCATTTATCGGGATTCTGATTCGTACTATTTTTATCCATAATACTTTGGTATTCCGAAAAAGCATTAAATAATGAATTAATCTAAAAAAATATATATACCACTATTTAAATAAATATATTACACTAAGTTTTATTTTAAAATATATATATACAAATTCAAATTTTAAAAAATATTAACACTGTAATATGCATCATAAGAACTAAGAATTACATGTTCTTTTCTCACCTTAGATGACATTATACTATTTAAATATTAAAAAAATATACGATAATATAATATATGGCACACTTATATACACGTTGAAATTATAAAAAATAGTGCATGAATATACAATGTACTTTGTTATAATTTTTATTTTCGTACAAATTTTTAATCAATTAGGATTCTCATCAATTACATTTTAATATAAACAATACGAGTAATAATTTGTGAAAAATAATACATTTTTTACATATATTAATGAAAAAAAAGTATGAAAATATATTATAAAAAAATAGTTCTCTCTGCTAAATTAAATATATTACTAAACACTAAGATTTTATATAATTATTATATAATTTATTTAACACATATTATAAAAAAATATATATAATGCGAATAAAGAATATTACCTTTGATATATACATGTATATATGTCATTTTCTTTTTTTTTATATGTAATATAATAAAAAATATAATTTAATAGGAATAATAGAATATTCCGGAATAATAAACTTCCTTCATTTGATATTTATTTCATTACCATATATAAAAAATTAGGATAATATTATTATATAATATATTTGATAAAAAAGAATAAAATATATATGTGACAGTCCCTAAGGGTTTATGGTGCATAGATGTTATTTTAGGGATTCTATTTGCCTATGAGTACATTTGCGGGATGTGTTAATTTTTATAAATTATGCATTTTTTATATACATTATATTTAATTTTTCACAATATATTATTTTCATATTAATATATTTAAAATAAAGAAATGTTTTTTTTTATTTTTATCGATGTATAATTTTATTATTTTATTATTATTTGATATGAATTTGATAAATATGATTTTTTTTGTTTTTAGTATTCATAACATATTGTTATATTTTTTTTGATCTCCTTATATTTTTATAGGACATATCATAAATGTTATGATTTCAAATAATTTTATTATACTATAAAGTATATATTTTTTAATTTTTTTTATTCCAAAATTTATTTTAAACATATAGGAAAAGTTTATATTAGTTTTCATTTTTTATACTTTATTAATTATTGTATATTTTTTTATATATACTCACTTCTTATTTACAAAATTTTTTAAACTCTTTTTTTCTATTGAATCTTAATTGGAGTTATAATTTTTTATTATGTATGTATTCAATGAAACAAGTTACATTTTTTGAGCATTAAATATAATATTATATTTTTCAACAAATACGTACAAAGAAAAGTACATATATAATAGTATTATAATATTATTACTATTATGCTATTTTGAAATATGTGATATATTATGCATGTACTCATTTTCATGCATTTTTTAATATATTATTTATGTTATTAAATCTTACATTATGCCTTTACGACAATACAAACAAATTTAAATAAATCCTGATTCATTAGGTTGTACTAATGATATATATATATATATATATAGAATTACCATATCGTATTATAAAACTATATAATATTTTTTCTTGATTTTCGTGCACTTATAATGTTATTAGTATTTAATTTGTATACTAATTTTTAATGTTTTATTTCTGGTTATTTTTTAAATAACAGATATATGAATATTATTTACAACCAACAAATAGAATACAATAATGTTACTTATGTATTTTAATTTATATTTAATTTATAATCAATACATAATTACAATCGTGAAAAATTAAAACTATCATAGAATAATATTAATATAAAATATTACATTCTCTATTAATCGACGTCCAAAAGTTTTGTTATATTTATGATTTCTTATTTATGTTATACATTTCTGTAATTATAATTTGTTTTGTAAATAATATATTAACATTTTTAAGTACAACATTACAGATTAGTTATTAAATTTCAGCAATTAATCAATTAATTAGCATTTCATATAAAAAACGTTTAATCACTTCATATATAGTAAAAGCAAAGAAAAAATAACGACATATGTAATGGATGAATATATTATTATATATTAGCTTCAATTAAAATTCTTATTAAAATGAATATAATATATATAAATAATGTTCTAACAATTTTATCTATTCTTTTCAAATACAATTATTTGAACTAGTAATATACAAAATAAAGCATTTATTCTAATGTAAATCATACTTACATATCACAAAATTACATAATTCAAGTGTAGTTCTTATTTTATGAGCAAATATATAAAATTTATATTTTACGCCTTTTATTATAAAATTATATATTATATACTACATTATTTATTTTTAATATATATCCTTTCGTACATTGAAAATTGTGTACGGGTACTATAATCCCACAAATAATTATAAAAAATATTTCGTAAATATCTTAAATAATTATTAATATGCTCCCTTAACAAACAATAATAAATGGATAATAAATATATTCTTATAAAAGTGTAAACATACTTATATAAATATTTTTCACACTCTTAATTCCCCTACATAATAATATGAAATAATAAAAATAAATAATTAAATTATTCAATTATAATTATGTTTTATTTTACATTTATCTTATCGTATATACATCAATGTATTTTTCGATATATGTGATGGCTTATATTATTAATAAAGCAGGATAGATATTATTTAAGATATTATTTCTGAAATGTTCATTGCTCAAGTACTCTGAAAAAGACATTTAAAACATATTCATTGTCTAATAATGCAAAATAAACAAAAATTCATGTTTTTGTAATTTAATAAGAGGTCAAATAATTGGAGTGGATAATTATAATTCAAAATCATATATATAACCATATCATAAGTTTTATCTAAAGTTCTAGTTACTTTGCACATATCAAAGATAAAAAAAAACAAAAATTAAGTATACTGAATGTTAACATAATAATAGATATATTAAAATAGCGTAAATTATTATAATACTTTGTTATATTTATATTGAAGATATAATACATATTATAATATATATCAATATACCAAAAAAGCATGATGTCGCATAAAATAAATATTCTATTATAAGAAATCAATAAAATATCAAAATTGATAACTCCCCTAGCATTATTATTTAAGTGCATTATAAAAGCTATTCTAATATAAACATTCATAATGTGCATAGATATACAACTATTATATTTCCTATCACTTCACCAAAACTATTATATATGAAAAGCAATAAATATTAATTTATTCAATTTTTTTAGGGTTCAGTGTTTCAGGGTATAGAGTTCAGTGTTTAGGTTTCATGCTTTAGGTTTCAGGGTTTGTGTTTATATTTTTTTATTTTTGTATTAGCGTTCTTAGTTTCGAATTTAGTTTTTATGTTTAAAATTTCTTCTCTTTTGCTTTTATTGTTTAGAAAATTATGTTTACAGTATATTTTTATAAGTTAGTTTGTGGCTATATTTTTGATACTATCAACCTTTGTTTTCAATTTTTATGTATAGATTTTGTTTTTATCTATATTATGATATTCTATCTATTAGTACTTAACTTTTTATTTTATTTTATTTATTTTTAGTTTTTTATAAAAGTTATTTTAATTATATATTATTATAATATGTATTCACATAGTGCCCATTATATTGTGATATTATTATTTAATAAATATAACGTATATACTGTATACTCAAGTTTTACTATTATATTTGTGCGTATTTTAATTAGTATATTTTTTGTCATCTTAGTTATGAAATAATTTTTTTTCGTTTACATTTTAATTTATTGTTCTTTATTTAAATTTTTTTTGTATTATATTGTTATTTTATGAAATTTTTATTCTTTCTTTTTATATTATATACACAAATATTTATTTTGGTATCAAAATTATAATTCTGTCATAAGAAATATCTATGATTTATTTTTTATTGTACCTATTAAAAGATTCATTTTCTTCGTGTTCTTTATTTAAAGGATCACCACCTATCTTATTATTACTATCCTCCTTAAGAGCAATGAAGGTTATACTATAACAAATAGATAATTCCTAAATAATTCTTTTTGCATATAAAACACTCGTCCTTATTTTACTTGTTTTAGAATGGTTTTTGTTTTTTGTTCCCGCGCTATTTTTTCCAAGCTTCAAAGGAATATCATTTGACTTCTTTTGGTCACCATATAATTTTTTTTTTTTGTTCTATATCAACTAGCAATTTCTTTTACCATCCGATGAATTATTAATAACAGATGCATTTAATATATAATATACTTTGTTTTTAATTTATTAATTTCTTTTCCAGTATAATTTATTAAACATGATATGTTGCTTCATTGATCTTTTGATATATTAATTATATAATCTTAACCATCCATAAAATATTTTTCCGAGATATAATTATTTAAATAATCCTTGGATAATTATACGAATTATGTATGCATATATTTTTTTTTCGTTTTAACATTATCCAGGGCATTACTAAATTTCAATAACATAGCTTTTACTTTTGTATTATTTTTCGTTATATCAATTAT